AGTTCACAGATCAAATAAATGTGGTGCTTTCTCTTATACACATCGAGATGTGGATAAGAAAACGGGATATGGGTTTAGATATACCATTATATAAACATCAGCGAGGGCATAGTAGCACATGCAATTGAAACCTGTAAATTTGCAAAGTAACGAAGTGTCAATGAAGCGGTAGGCCTATTCTAGTTCTTTTGTTTTTCTTCTGTTTGAGCGTAAAACCAATGGCGTCTCAAAGTTTGTAGGGCCCGACGGTGAATGTTATTGTAGGCCCTAATGAGCAAGCAAACAGATACTTTAAACCCACGTGGGCCCCATTCGGGTTCCAGGGGGGTCAATATATATTACTAACGAGCAGAGAAGTAACCAACAAAATTTTCATATCTGCTGACTTCAAGTTGCAGTAGTTACACAGAAATGACAAGATATTCACACAACCGGTCTTTTCAATAATCTTTACGAGATGTCTCGACTGCCACAAGAAAGCCCTCTATTGCATATTTCATGTAGGCCTATACTGTATGTGTATATCAGGTTAATTTAGTTCCTCCTGCTTTACTATTTATTAGAGTTCACCCTCCATCAATTATTTATAATGGCCATTGAATGGCGATTCCGGTACTGGATCCGTTGTCTTTCAACTCACTATCAATAATATTTTTATTCTTATGAGTAGAAACAGACAAAACAAAAATGTTGACGTAAGGCCGGCACTATATTTGATCATTACTCATAAAAAATGACGTTATCAATACAATGATAAAAATATACATTACGTATATCATTGACATCAACCAAATGTACTTACTCGACTGTGCTTCAGCTTGCCATAAAAGAGGGGCAACGAGCAGACGTAACAAACAAAGTTTTTATTTCGTATTCATGTAGGCCTATATTTAGCTGGATAATTTAGTTCCTTCTGCTTTATACTGAATTTGGTTTTCACCCTCGAACAATTATTTATTATAGGCATTCAATGGGGACTCCAGTGGATCCGTTGTCGTTCAACTCACCATCAATAACATTTTAATTTGTACATTAAAAATAGCCAGTTCACACGTTCTTTCTGGTACCTGTTATCGCTAAGAAAGAGCACAGGAGTGCTGTAAATGTGCACAAAATATTCGAGGTTATATATAATAATATATATAATGGCAGCGCCATTTATGAAAAAGTTAATTTAGAGACGGAATACTGTAAGCCAAATCCGGAAGAAAAGAAATCGAGTATGGGGCGTCAATTAAATTAGGTATGGTGCGCACTTAGTGCAATAAAGGGTGATTCACCCAAAATTAGGACCTGGAACACAGGCTAATATATTAGTAGAAACGTATGCATTGACATTATGAACATAAATATATATAACCTCATTTTTTATGATTACACAGGGGTGAAGCAGGTGAGAAGGGGCGGGATTTGAATCGAAACCCATTGTCATATAGGCCTATTTTTGGGCTTCGTCTCCCTGGAACACTTTCAAAGAGAACCTACCAGGCTCACCATAAATAACAAAAAAATAAGAGAATTGTGGCAATTCTATTAATATATATATATACATACTGTATATATATACATATATACATATATATATATATATATATATATACATTTCTGCATTTCATATTCAAAAACATTGATCAACGAGATTCTGATTAGGACAGTTAAATAAAATATCATGACTTTAATTTATAACCTGAACCTGAACTGATAAGGCTACAGTAATGCAATGGAGTACAATTAGATAAAATGTATAATGTAATGGAGTTCGATTTATACAGCGCTTTATACCAGAGTCTCAAAGTGCTCGAGGTGTGTGAACTAGCTCGTTACAGTAACTTCCTTTTTCCCTGAGGATCTGTTTATGTCTGAGCTACCCGGTAAACCGATACCACTCATCGTCTGTCCACAGCAGGGGCTGAATAGACCAGTTCACTGGGGTAGGTCCATCGAAAGATGTACTGTGTTCTTTAAAGTGCACACGTATAATGTTTATAACTCGATAAATTTACGGATCGTCTGCGTTGTTTGCGAAAAGTTGAATCGATTCAACTTTTTGCAACGCAAGCATAAAGCTGATTTGTGCATGCTCTAAATTAACTGTTGTGATTTGTAGTTAACACTTTTACATCTTGCCACCTACTCATTGCCGATTAAATAATTATTATTATTGGTTGTTATCAATGATGCTTGCTGCTATTACTGTTATTATTATCATAGGCTATCCTATCATAACCTATCATAGTCTGGCCTGTCCTTGCCAAGTCAAGCCTATAACCAGGTTTTGATAGAGCCTATGGTGCTCTTCTACTGAATAGCATAATACTGTAAACATTAATATTTATAATAATATGCAACACATCTTACTCACCCGTTCTTCAAAAATATTATATTACACAGGGGTGAAGCAGGTGAGAAGGGGCGGGAGGCTAGATAGGGTGGGAAGGGAGCGCTCCCCTCCCTTTGTCGGGGAGATAAACCACAAGTCGTCGGGAGAAAAACAAGTTACATTGCCTCTAAAATCGATTATAGTAAATAAGAATTTGAATCGAAACCCATTGTCATATAGGCCTATTTTTGGGCTTCGTCTCCCTGGAACACTTTTAACGAGAACCTACCAAGCCCACCATTTTCCCCTGCCCCCCCCCCCACTCATATTTATGAAACTCATCTGGGGGCTTACATCTGCGAAAAGGTGTATAATGTTGATTTTTTCTTCCCTTCGGGGTAGGCCTATTATTACAGCTGAAAAGCAAAAATCAATAAATTTAAAGCATTAAAACAGGCATAACCCAGCTATATGCTTGTGAGAAGTATATATATTCCGAACACAGCCCTGCAGTCTCATTCTATATACATTTGTAGCCCTACAATGAATGCTAATTTCATAACGGCTTTTGAAAGCTTCCCGTGAAAATCATTGCGACAAGTAGGAACGTATCCATTTTGTTACGTTGCGTCACGAAATTGCTGGAAGAGCATTGCGTTGCCTTTGCCTTTGCGTTGCCTACGTTGCGTTTCTTACGTTGCGTTGCGGCAGGTTTTTTTAACGTTGATAATTTGCTATGTTGCCGAGAACTTTGTTTACAATTTTTGTTTGCGTTTGCTTTAAGTAATTGATTCACAAATTTTAAATGAAGATTTGTTGTGCAAAAATATTGTTACTTCTGAAATAAAAATGGGTCAGAATTTGATATCAGAATAGGTGGTTCCAAATTTACCGGTAAATTTTTTTAACGTTTATGGGTCAATTTTTCAGCGTAAATAAAGCTTTGTTTTCTTGAGTACCGTTTTTCATTTTATTTTAATTTACCCTCCCCTCCCCCTTGAAGAAAATAATATATAATATAAATAAAATAAATTAACATCTACAGCCCAAATATTAAGTCTGGATTTAATTAATAAATTTGGAAATTTTAACTTAATGCATGAAATATCGCTATAATAATAATAATAATAATAATAATAATAATAATAATAATAATCTAATAGTCTAAGCCCACTAGTTTCGTAATTTTAATTTAGTTTCTTTTTTATGATGTTAGATGAAATGTCACGATAAACAATATTAAAAGTTTAAAATTCATCTTCAATTATCTGACAAGAGAACTATGACAACGTCTACAGTTACTGTCACAACAAAGAGACAGGGAGTTCGATTTATACAGCGCTTTATACCAGAGTCTCAAAGTGCTCGAGGTGTGTGAACTAGCTCGTTACAGTAACTTCCTTTTTCCCTGAGGATCTGTTTATGTCTGAGCTACCCGGTAAACCGATACCACTCATCGTCTGTCCACAGCAGGGGCTGAATAGACCAGTTCACTGGGGTAGGTCCATCGAAAGATGTACTGTGTTCTTTAAAGTGCACACGTATAATGTTTATAACTCGATAAATTTACGGATCGTCTGCGTTGTTTGCGAAAAGTTGAATCGATTCAACTTTTTGCAACGCAAGCATAAAGCTGATTTGTGCATGCTCTAAATTAACTGTTGTGATTTGTAGTTAACACTTTTACATCTTGCCACCTACTCATTGCCGATTAAATAATTATTATTATTGGTTGTTATCAATGATGCTTGCTGCTATTACTGTTATTATTATCATAGGCTATCCTATCATAACCTATCATAGTCTGGCCTGTCCTTGCCAAGTCAATTGTTAACATATTACGATAGAGAATTGCTTTCTTTGGAGAACTGTTATAGTTGAGCCCGTGCGAGGGCGGCGCCATCTTTGTTGTTGTTATGGCGAAGCTACGTGACTGCAGCGCGAGGGATTTCGTGCAAATCAGGAACTATCGCATATGGCTGGAATAAACATGTTGATTTCTCCTTTTAGAAGCTGAACTTAATGTCTCTTTTGTTTAACACGTACCGAAGATATATCAAACCTGCGTATACAATCGTTTTTCTTCGTTTCACTTTAGAGTGAGTTACAAAAAACATGTTTTTAGTGGGGTAAATATTTCAAGTCGGCGATTTAGCCTGACCCTAGACTGACTAAAAAAATCGGCCTGCGGAGGTGTCATTTTAGTGGAGATTCGCGTCATTTAGTTGCAGTGCTAGTCGAAGTTCGTTTTAAGAATAAGAAATGACGTAATTTTTAAGTTTTAGCTCGAACTACGACTAAAGTTCGTTTTAAGAATACAGGGGTTAGATCGATATTTTCTGATTCAAAGGAGCGTTTCCCAAGCCTAACTTGATAATTTTCATTGTGATTATTTCCGGAATGGCTAGGACATGAAAACGAGTTGGAGAAGGACTTTTGTCTGCGAGATGATTCTTCTTTTTAAAAACTAGAAAGTAAACTTTGTTTGGTTTTGCCAGACATAACGTATAAGCCATCCATCAAAAAGTTCTGAGTTTCTTGGTATATTGAGTAACGTCTTCCACCAGTAAGAGCCAACGGTGGCGCCAGGATTTGCCCGATGGGGAGTGGGGTTGGAGGTTTGAGATTCCGACAAGGAGTCAGATTTTCCCAACGAAAGCAAAGTGGGCGTGGCTTAGAAAATGGACAAAATAGGGGTTTCAAAATGCTTATTTAATCGATTTTAGAGTCTACTAATATGTAGAAAATACATACAATTTTTTTTATCCACGACGAATTGTGCTTTTTTTTTCTCCCCGACGCCCCACCCCCACGCTGGCGCCACCCCTGGTAAAAGCGTAATTCCTTATTTCAAACGCATAAATACGAAGATAAGTAATCCTTGGAAAGAATTAAGAATACAAAAAATCCACAGCATAACTTCGGAAGCATCTCCGATGGAAAAGAAACCGATCAACCATGTTAAACCGAAAACTGCTGTAATGGTAACTCCAATTCTCATCATCTGAATCCCATTGAGTCTGGTTTCCTTTCCTTTTATGGTAGATTGATTTCTGTTTTTTCCGAGCTGCCTTAAACTATGCAAAACCCGAATGAATACGGTCATGTTGAAAAGTAAGGATAGGGCGACAGGAATTGCTACAGAGTAGTACATACGTTGGAGTGTCAGAAAACAACTGTAAGTAAATAGATAACATCAGAAGGTATGTAGTTAAGCCATTAATGCGTATGTGTCACATAATACACAAAATAATAACAATTAATAGTATGCAGATAATATAAAATCATATGTAGGCTTTGTGATTGGAATTAATTTCGTATCACCATATGTTGGCTGTGCTGTTGTAAATTGTTAATCTTATATTAGAATTTGCAGGCTTGTGTATAGACTCTTAAATTATTGTATACTTGATATTTAGCAGTGTACACTGAGTACAGATAAGACTAAAACTTTAAACACGCTTAGTTTGACAAGTAATTATCCTTTTGGCGTTCCATACTCGACTAGGTGAACTTAACGTTCTCGCATGCGCAGATGACTTTTAGTAAAGTCATTACGTACTACGCCCTACCGTCGTCTTGCAATCAAAAGCTCCCTAATGTCGTCTTGTTGGGACCTTAGCAACAATATTCAAGGGGCGGGGCTTAACAGAAAGGCCCATTGTTTAATTTTTTCTATAACTTACTAATTTTCAAAATCCACATAGCTATCAAGGTCAACAAATGCAGACACCGAGACAATTATCGCTGGTAAACCTGTGGAAAAAGTTTAATATTAATAATTAAATAAATATAAATAGGATCACCTGGTTTCCAAAATAAATAAATAAATAAATAAATAAATTTAATAAAAACCACTTATAACACTCTAAGCATTAATACATTATACGAAAAATATCTTCATTATAAAACTAAAATACTTACCCCATGCAAACAAGCAAGCCTTAAAAAGAAAGTGTGACACGTAACTATTAACGACTTTCACAAGTAAATAGTACATTTTTACAGCTTGAACATTCATCCAGAATATTGACGATAGCAAGAAGTAATGCAAAAGAGCTGCAGCAATCGTACAACCAAGACTGTTTTCAGTCGTTTCATTTCGATCAATTCCAGCAAGAAATACAATATACAGACCAAGCAAAGACAAACACAGCTGACATAGAATTTGCTTTGGTTCACTCTTCCAAAATTTCCTAAATAGAATTTAAAATTAATGAGATCATCATAATTGAACTACATAAATATAATCTTTCTACATTTATTTATTTATTTTGTTAAACTTGTGCATAATTTAATGCCATTTTATATATCATCTTCAACTAACACGCTGTTGGGCAAAGACACTGTCTTTGACGACAAAACTACATCCTATATATCATATTATTTACTATCAATATATAATATTTAAGTTAGAAATAATATTTTATTAATAACATAAAATATGTACATACCTCTTACTCAAGAAAGTAAGTAATGTCAGAAATAGAGATGCAATTGATATGCTTAAGCCAACAATAGTTACAATGTCTGCTGCAGGGGGAAGAGATGACATTTGATGGAAATCCTATTAAAAGGAAAATAAGAATAACATTACATATGTTGATTTACGTATGAAATACCATACAGTTATCTGAAGACATATATAATAACATACTGTAATCAAGCTTATCTTATTAATGTAAATTACAGTAAAAAAACACATTAAATACAGTAATAATAATAATGAGAAAGTTCTAGTACTCAGTTGTTTGCTGGCTACATTTCCTTATTCATTTGAATAATGTACAAGTACATTAGTTTCAAGACCAAATAATACCTAAATTATAACATAAAAATAGTAAGTAAAATAGGCCTAAATATAACAATATCAATAAAATATGATAATTACAATGGTAGTGTTGATATAGTTATAAAAATAACGATAATAATAATAATAATAATAATAATAATAAATTAAGTTAATTTTAAGTAATTAATAAATAAGTCAATTTTTACTGTTGTTATTGTTGTTGTTAATAATAATAATAATAGATATATTTTTACTGTTGTTATTGTTGTTGTTAATAATAATAATAATACATATATTTTTACTGTTGTTGTTGTTGTTGTTGTGGTAGTAGTAGTATAGCTATATAATTATTAATATTATTATCGCTATCATTATTATTATTATTATCGCTATCATTATTATTATTATTATTATTATCATTATTATTATTATTATTATTATTATTATAGCTATATAATTATTAGTATTATTATCGCTATCATTATTATTATTATTATCATTATTATCATTATTATTATCATTATTATTATTATCAATATTATTATCATTATTATTATTATATTATTATTATTATTATTAGTAGTAGTAGTATTAGTAGTAGTAGTAGTAGTAGTAGTAGTAGTAGTAGTAGTAGTAGTAGTAGTAGTAGCAGCAGCAGCAGTGGTAGTAGTAGTAGTAGTAGAATAGCTATATAATTATTAGTATTATTATCGCTGTCATTATTAATATGAATGAAATAATACTAAAAGAATAATTCACATAAAAATTATTTTCATAATTTGATAAAAAGACAGATTCAAATATTAAGTAAACGGATGTGTTGCTGGTGAACATACCATAAGTATAGCAAAGTTAGTTAGATGAGTGCACTCGCAATACTGCCTATCACTCCCATCCTCCGATCCATTTACAAATGTGCAGCCTTCAGTCGACCATCCTCCAACCCCATCAAGTATGAAGTCCCAAAAGACACAGGTTGTATTTCTGTTTGTTTCAGAGATCTGTAAATAATACCGGATAATGTATGTGCAAATGATAGGCTTAGGTTGAAATGACCGAACGTAATACACATTAATCATTTTCTTTGAAAACTATTAATATTTTCTGACAAATGATCTTTGGAATAATAATGTCAGTCTAAATAGATTGTTGGTATGTAGTAATATTATTTATTGTTTTGTTTAAGTATTATCGTTCCTACTTAAAAGCAAGTTATCGGTCACAATAATAATTATTAATAATTTCTGTATTAATCAATATCTCAAAATAATATTATTTATTTAAATAATGATATTAAAAAAAAGTTACTTCAATGGGAATGAACGTGGTAACGATGGGCTTGTCCAGTTTAACACGATCTAATCCAGGTACTGACAGAGAAATAACTTGACTATTTGGTCTGCGACCTGATCTATCATTAATGAACTGAGCAGATTGGAACAGTCTACTGTCATTGTAAACAATAACTATAATCCGGAAATCTAAAAGCAGAGCAAAACAGACAATCATAAAGAAGCCATGATTCGAGATACCAGTTCATGTTTGTGTGACCACATGTGTGACCATACTCAACAAAACATCGTTTTTACAATTTTTATGAGTTAAGTAAAAATTGTCGGCTATATATTTCATTAAATGACTAAAATATAAAACATGGTATTACATAAGATGGCATTTATAATAACATATGATGAATGCACTTGTCATTTTACTTTCCGGTACAAAGCTTTATTAATTATTGTTACTATATTATTCACTTCATTCTAACAGCAGTTTAATGTTTTATAATTCAGTAGGCCTACTTTGGAATCCATCTGTTTGTGTACAGGGATGTATGTATTGTATGCAACAATACACTTCATTTTGAACACCCTTTAAATGAAACTTTTAAGTCTAACCATTTATCTGTAAGCCCTATGCAACAAATATTTTAATATTACGAATTTTTATTATTACCTGTTATATTATTAGCACTGATGACGTCAGATATACTGATTGGCAGAGCAATTGACACATTGGCAGCATCAGGTATTTTCACACCATTGGCAAGTACTTTAACTGCACCTACACCATTCTTATTTGATTCTGATATAAAAGTTAAGTTAATCATGTTTTCTTCACTAATTTGAGTTGCATCAAACATCTGAGCCTGTACTGCTATGTTAGGTGTGGTTTCTTCATAAATGCCTTTTTCATTTAGCTCTACTATGCCCAATTGACCTTCAAGAACTTCAGTAATTTTAGTAGGAGCCTGATTCCTCATTTGACTTTCCATTAGGATTTCCTCGTCAACACCTAACAAGTTATTTACTACCATAATAATAGATTGTGTCACCTGAGAGTAAATTAAACTATAGTTAGTTTAGATTTAATAAACACCACACAACAAAACGCAGAATCTGGTAGTGATGGTGTAAAATTGTAAAACAATAAGCAAAAAGTACAGAAATTTATATAAATATATATATATATATATACATATATATATATATACTATATATATATATATACTATATATATATTGTCATAAATCCATGAGTGTAATTATATAAATTATATTATATGAAGTGAATTATATAAAATGCGTTGAAACAAGAAATGGAGGCATCGAGTCATGTGGACTATAAAACACTGGTTTATTCGAAAAGAAATTTTCGACCAGTCCTCTGGTCTTC